CAATCACATATATTTACATAATTTCATTTTTGTTGTTGAGATAAGGAAATGTCGACTAGGCTTCATGGCCTAGGTTAACTTGAGGCCATTGTAATGATGAGTTCCGGCCGAAACGATGGCTGTCATCTGACGGATGAAAGCTTACCCTAAGAGTTGAATTCACCCTATTTTGTTTAAGGTGATAAAGGACTGGTACTAAAATTTTCGCACAATATGAGTAAGCCTAACATTTTCATTCAAAAAGGTATTTTAATCCAGAGTGGACCGCAGTTTTGACCTCGTATATTTCTTATCATAAACATTATGCGAAATGGGGTTAATACAGTTCATGTACATCTACTTGGAACCTAAACGAATAAATGTTGGTTTGATCGCGTTTTCGTAAACTCGTCGTAGTGACAGGAAGATCTTATGGAACGTACATAGATCTGAGTCCTGTCATAGCATTTGTGATTTCCAGCATTGGACTAGTGACTTGGTACATTCCTAGACGTTTAGCCGGCATCATAAGTGGTATGAGCCATGCTTAGCACGGAGTTACATCTTATCAAAGTTATGATTGAAAGCAATCCCCTTACCCAAGTTTCTGTTCAACCGTTGTGACTTTCCGCTTTGATAATTTGTAACTCTGTGCTAAGCATGGCGCCTCTCACTGGCAATGCCAACTAAGATGCCAGGGAAATGTCTGGAAATGTACCAAGCCAACGGTCAGATGCTGGAAATCACAAACACGATGTCAAGGTTGCAGGCCTAGGTACGTTTCACAAGGTCTCTACGTCACTCCAACAAAGTTATGAATACGAGGTGAAACCAATAATATACACATAGAGGACTGCAACCAAATAGAAGTCCAGAACATCTTGTCTTCATAATTACGATCTAAAAAATAAGTCTCAGCCCGTTTTCTCTCTAACTGAAGGATGCATCGTTAAATAAATTAACTAGAACGTTCTAGAAAATTCGAAATGTCGAAACGGCATTGGCAGTCGTCTGCTAGTGAAATCGGGCTATGAATATCTTAATCAAATTTATTAACAAGAAATAAAATTCATTACAACAAAAACAGGTTTTTGATAGTTTTTAAGACTATATATGATAAAAACGCCTCCATAGCAAGAAAAAATCAGGATCAATCTCAGAATATTCCTGATCCAGGCAACTATCTAAATTCACAAGTTAGAGTTTGATGAGAGATTTTTATAATTTCCATAGAATAACAAACTAAATTTGCAAATCAGATAAGCAGTCTGAAATAATTGATTAATTAAGATGGTGATGAATCGATTTAAAGGTTAATGCGGAAATGTTAGCTAATTCAATTAAATGAGATAATTTTTGAATGAATCTAGTATATTCTAAGACGTACGCAACGCTGGCGAGCCTCACTTCGCTGACTAGTTAGCTGCTTAGCCTGCTCTTCAAGACCTGCCAATTGAGCCTCTAAGAGAAGATATCTTTCCTGGCTGGCCGATTCAGCTGCCTCTTGAGCAATCCTGGAAGAGGCAACTGACTGCTCAAGGCGGTAGACAAGGTCACGAGATTCAATCAGCTCTGTCTGCAATAAGCATACCTGTCAAGAGAGGGCAGTGAGAAAGAAGTTTGAGGAAAAACAAAATAAATAATGATAAAAATATAATAGAAAAAGGCTACTTATGAAAAGTGAATATGATGTAACTAATAAATATGAAATCAAATTAGCGAAAATATGTGAGGAATGGGATGAAGAAAAAGCAGAGGTTGTACGATATCAGTTTGCTTTCTCAGTATAATAATCTTAATTTCGCTATATATGCGATGAAAAGTTGGGTTTCGAGGAATCTCTTGTTTCATAATTGTTGAGCCTACTTCCATTTCGAGTGGGTGTTGGGTGAAGAGATTCTAAGGTCGATTCCACCAGAAGACGATGGCGGATTCCTCTTGACCAGCTGTCAATTGGCTTTACTGGAAGATTCATGCTAACGCTGTTTCCGATGATATCTTGTTCTGATGATGTTCGTCATATGACGGACGAATGCTTAGCACCTTTTCACCGGAATCGAAGAAAATTACCGCGAAAACAGTGTCAGCATGAGTCTTCCAGTAAAGCCAATCGACAGCTGATCAAGGGGAATCCGCCGTCGTCTTCTGGTGGAATTGACCTTCGAATTTCTTCACCCAACACTTTCACTCGAAATGGAAGTAGGCTCAACCATTAATTTTGTTAGACAAAATGATGATATTAAATTAAATAATTTAAAAGATGCGCTAATACTAATGTACTCTTGCTTTCCCTCAGCATTGGAATATCTGATGGAATCCCATACTTTTTCATTAAATATACCGTGAGTTGTCAGTGATAGGGGTCATGAAGAAGATTAAAAGCTAACCCTTAAAAGACAAGGAACTGATGCAATAACTTAACTATTAGAAGATATGAAAGCCAGGATGGTGTTGCCTGTGGTCACAGTCTCCTTTCGAAGTACGGAAATGGGCTGACCTCGTTTATGCAACTTTGTATTGTTATCAGAGATACTTCGCTGGACGCAGTTTGCCCGAAGTCATCTGCTATAAAAGTTATCATTATTCCCACTTTCTGAACATGAACTTGATACAGTCTTAGACGTTTCGCCGACAGCATTAGTTGGTCCTGTCATTCTTAGTACCAAGCTACAACTCAACAAAGAAACAAGTTAAGTCGATCTCTTGACCAACTTTCTGCCAAGGTTGTACCATTACTTCTCTTTCTGACCTCGCCCATCTATCTACTCCTTACCCTCTTACCACACTCCCGCCCTATCCCAACATCTGACTAGTTTATATTCCGCTTCTAAAGATGTGCGAGTTTAGTGTGGCATCGTCACACCAGCTGTTTACCTTGTCACCCTTCCTTATAGATTTTCTGACCGGACTCAGGCATCCTATTCGAATCCCCTTCATGGGCCTGTAGATTCGTTTCTTATCTTACTGGTTGACCGGCTTCACTCAGTTCCATTCCCAGAGTACGTTTTAATCCATGCGCTATTTCTCATGCAGTTAAATGCACGTACACAGTCGTCTAACCGAGGAGAGCACCTAGTCTCTGATTCACATGCTTTCACCGGTCGTCTCCCTGATTAAATTCGTGTACCCTGAGCAAAACTGTGGAAGCCTATCCTTGGTCGCCTGCTGCATCTCGAGTTAATTTCTAGTCATTTTGGCCATAATGCCTAATTTGCGTGATGGTTATGATTATCCGTCTCTGATAATTTGATCATTATGCCCCCAAAGTTGTAGTTATTTCTCTAAGAAAACCACACTCACCGAAAACATCTTCGTTAGATTTCCGAAATTTCCCAACCCGCTTCCTCCTTGCGATCCCTTTTCCTCTAATTAATGGTAGGTCCTTATTCCAGGCGACTCCCTTTTGCCTTTATTGTTGTGCCTTTGTTTTCTCCGAGTTTGCTTGAGTATAACGTATACTGGGGCTAGAAGCGAGTCAAATCAGTCAACCAGAAAGATAATTAACGGGTTTACGGCCCCATGAAGAAGATCCGGACAGGAGGCCCGAGTCGGATCAGCCAATTGAAAAAGAGGGGCAAGGTGAACAGTAGGTATGATGACTCCACACTAAACCTGCCAAAAAAAGGCACACCTTTTGTGGAGTGGAATATAAACAAGACATTAGTTATGATATGACGCGAACAATACAAGAGGGTAGAGAGTAGATAGATGGGGCAGGACAGAAAGAGACAGCACAACATTTTGGGAATAAAGTTAGTCAAGGGATTAACTTCACTTGTTTTTTCAACGAGTTGTAGCTTGGTATTGAGAATGGCAAGACTCAGTGAGGATTCTGGCGAATCATCTTGGAATGTATCAAGTCCATGGCCCGATGGTGGGAATTATGATAACAGAAGACTTCGGACAATGTGCGTCCAACTAAGTCTCTCTGACAATACGACCAAGTTGCGAAAATAGGTCAGCCCACCTTAACTAATATTTTTTTGCTTTCCTAGTTGAGAAAACGATATTAGCCAAATGGAAAAAGCTACTATCAGGATGATATGGTGGTCAGGTGAGAGAGAAGAATAGAATAAAATATCGAGTAAAATGGCGATAAAGAAAGCGTACCAATAATGATGGGGTTGGGTGCAAAGAACTGGCTTAAGTGAATATAACTTGAATTATTGCAAGGTTGAAAAAAAGGTCCCACTGAAGGAGATAGGTTTCAATACATTAAGAGGAAGCAACCCCTACACATGGGTTTCCTTTTTAAATTTTTTTTCATTTAAAATGTGAAGTCGAAGTAGGAATTAAGAAATCGTTTATAATAAAGTCTGCATCTAACATATATTTACGACTGAAAACTCGAATCACACAAAATCATTAAGATATTTCTCAAAACCTAACTTATATTCATATGTATGTCATAATAAGCATAAAGCATCAGCTATATGATTTATAAGCCCTCATTTGTTTATATAGGCAGATAGATATATAGATGAGTGAATTTTAAATAAAGTATAAAATATTGTGGCAGCAAATAACTAGAGCCTCAACGGTGAATCAGAATCATCTTCCTCAATTATAGCAACTTAATATACCTTATGTGAATTCTGAGTTCTAACTTCGTCCAGGCACCGTTGTGCATCATTCAAATCTATGGCATCTTCAGCTATTTTAGTATTGAGGTGCTCGATCTGAGACTCGAGGCTAACTAGCCGTTCGTGCCATTCTGTCTTCACTTCCGCAAGATGTACACGTGTAGTTTCCAGATGAGATTCTAGAATACGACGCTGTCGAAGAAAAGAAGGGCAATTGGGAGATACGAAGAGTAATAGAATGGAATGACTGAACAGATAACAAAAGCATCAAATGATACAATGAGAATGAATGGATTAAATGTAAGAGGCCAAACAAATGTCAATTCGAAGCCAAATAAATGTGTATCACCAGAAGTAGAAATACATTATAAAGCAATATAAACAATTACCCAAAGGTAACGATCTAAAAATAAAAAAAGTAATTAATCAGGATTGAACACTAGCTATTATATGCTTAAATTATTTTGACGATTCGAAAGCGAGATTGACACTGCTTTAAACTTCATAAATTATGGAAGGCAGGGTTTAGAATCTTTTGATTGATATAGAAAGTTAGGTATTAGGTATTCGTAAATTGCCCTCAATATGAATCGAAGGAAGATTGCTTTAAAGTTGCGTGTGTTAATATGATCGAATAGTTAATCGGCACACGGTAATTTAACCTCGGTGAATCTATGCTGAGCTTGTCTGTCAGCTGAGAGGCAGAAAAACCATTCTTCAACTACATTCACTTAGAACTCTAAGTCAGGGATTAAGAAGGGATGAAAGCGTAATTATAATATGAGATGTATTTACCATATTTCGTTTATGGTCATAAATGACTGGTAGTTGAATTTTTCTACAATAATATGAGAATAGATGGCTCTTTCATTGGATTTCATATAGACTTGTATTCCAAAAAGATATTCTCATCCAGGTTGGATTGCAGTTACGACCTCGCCTAGGTCTCACCAACAGCCCCAGCGGGACTCGAACAATGACAGTGCAGCGTGTACTCTCGATATGGTAACCATTACGCAACATTATCACGAACATCCATTTCCTCGCCTAAATTTCTTATACGTTGCAATAACTTTCATTTCGTTTGGACAGGGGAGTAAATGGAATCGTAGATTGGTTGCAGAGGAAGCTGTAGGGGGATTGTCGTGGAGCTGAAATTGTAGATTTGTGCGAATGGGACCTCGGCGCACCGCCCTTTGACCATCGTTACTGGTATAGTCACCATATCCAGCTAGGCGTTTGGCATTAGACAAATTTATCTGGTGTTCTGTACGAGCCATGTATTTGGCCAATTCCGATTTTTGGACCCATAGACTCTATCAGACTGTTTTGCGTTCAGATAGCCTCTTATGTAAGGGCATTACAACATAAACACAAAATCTTGTAAAAGCCCGATTTGGAGAGAGGGTTAGAGTATTCTCAAAAGAAAGACAATACAGAGGAAAGTGTGATTTCCTTTTTCTGAATGGTATTGATGTCCTACCTCCTCAGTAATTCGCCTATCTTTTTTGACAGATTACAGAAAGGCAGCATAGGGATTCTGGTATAGTGATCTAACTTTTTATCCAGCTCCAAATATGTATTTACCTCAATCCAATTTGACAATATTCTAATATAATTGTCAGCTAGTCCTAGTGGATAATTGTTCTCAATCAGAATTCTCATTAGTCTACTCAATTCCTGGTCCCGATGCTAAGCATCTGACAGACGCAGGCTCCTTAGTATCATAGACTGCATAACTCCTACTTCAACCCATTAAGTGTGATCGGTAAAAAATTCAAAATGAAACCCGCATTTGTGGGTTTCCTATACACATCTCTACTCAATCTTGTCTCCTCCTTTCTAAATAGGATATCAAGAAAAGGCAAACCATCTTCCTTTTCTAACTCAATGGTGAATTTCGTCTTCCCATCGATCCTGTTCATCAAACTAAGGAAATTCGACAGGTTTTCTTTGCCATATTGCCAAATAGCAAAGTAGTCGTCTGTATAACGAACTAATAATTTAGGAACTAAAAGTGTCTCCTGAATTAAGCGTTCCTCAAATTGAAACATGTAATTATTTGCTAAAATTGGTGACAAACACGATCTCATAGCTAAACCACGTGTTTTTTTCTACAATTTACCATTAAAGGTATAATATGTACAGTGCACCGCCAGGTTGGTCAGTATCATCGTTGACACTTCACCTAAATTCGTACTCCCTAAAATATCCGCGTGTTGGTCTAGTGTAGATTGCGGGACCTGTATGGCATAGTCTGCAGGAATGTTAGTGTACATAGACTCAATATCAAATCTTACCAGCAAATCCCACTTTCTGTCTCCTGCTCGTCAATTAGGTAAACGAACTCATAAGGATTCTTAACTGAAACCTTCCACGTCCCGGAGATTTGCTTTTACTGGTTACAAATAAATCGTAATGCTTTAAACATCATGCTTCTCTTATTATTCACAATAATTATAAATGGTATTCCATATTTATGTATTTTTGGCAGACCATATACATTGAGAGGTCTAGCATCTCGTTGAAGAAGCGTGTTCATCTTCCAGTTCTCCAGTTCCCGGTTTGTTACATAATGCTGCAGGCAACCCCTGAGCCTAGACTTAAAGGTTTCTGTAGGGTCCCTACTGATTACCTTGTATGTGGTAGTGTCATCCAAAGCCTGCATCATTTTTTCTGCATAGCTCAACCTACTCATAACTACCACTGATCTTGCTTCGTCTGCCCTCAACACCAATTGGTTCTCACCATTTAGTTTACTTACTATGTTTTTCACTCTTTTATTCATTGGCGTTATTTCTGCAGGGGAGGAGGCAAATGTTTGGCCGTAATTGCACCCGTTTCATGCTTTACCTGTAGCCACTTAACTTAACTTTTGGGTATACAATTGGACAAAATATAGGATATCCAACCAAAACATGAAATACCTAAGTGGACCAAATTTGACTATAAGTAGGTGGGTTTCAGGCTGGCCACCTTTCTTGCCTTCGTGTTTTGGGTGAATTATCATTAAGCATGGTGTCCTGCTCTGACTCTGCCTGTCACATGACGGACGAAAGCTCAGCAAGGATTAATCGGGGTCGCAGGCGGTGCGCCAAGGACTTGTTCACACAAATCTACAATCCCAGCTCCACGGCAATCCCCTTACAACTTACGAATCCCTTCCACTCGCCTCTTTAAACGAAATGAAAGGTACTCAAACATTAAGTAAAGTTGCTTTAAAACTGTAAGGATCAGGTTTAAACAGCAATTCCGATACATCAGCGGGAGGTATAATGACACTTACCTAAGCCCTCCTAAACGGACAAATTTCTGAAATATTCTAAGATAAAAAAGCTTGGATGTAATAGAGAGACAGTGAGATAAAAGGATAGAGGATTCGAGGTACCAAGACGGAAGGGGAGATAGCAATCATTCGGCAGAAAGTTGGCCAAGGGATGGGCTATACTTGCCTATTTGATGAGTTGCAATTTGGTGCTAAAAATGACGAGGCTTATTGAAGAGGCCAGGGGAGAGTCTTGAAATGTATTAAGTCCTCTGTCAAATGCTGGAAATTGCTGGCTACTGTGGCGGATGAATCCAGGGGCACAATGCGTACATCGAGGTCGCCCTGACAACACGAAGAAGTTGAGAGAGCGAGGTAAAACCAGTTCTATGCAGCGAAATAAGGTCAAAATATAGTCCACCCTTTCTTAATCTTCATACGTGCGCTCATTTTATATAACTTACCCTAGCCACAACTGCAAATGCACCATCCTTGTTCGTCATAAAATTAGTTCATAAAGTTGTTTGGCTTTCTTATAATGTTACTAACTTCACTATTCTTGCATGGTACCTCTAAGCGATTTGGCCAGGAATGATATTAAACTACAGGATATTCGAACATTACTTTCCTAGAGACGATAAGTGCAAAATAGTATTCATGCACAACCAGGAAAATAGACCGATCGCTTTATATTTAATGTGCTTCCCCTAAATTGCACAAATATCCGAAGTCGAATATAAAAAACTCATGCGTCAACAAATATCTTATTTAATAATTAAAGTTTACTCCTTAAAATTATCCAAATTTAGTTCCCTCAAGCAACCTGAGTATCAGACAGCGGGAAAAGTTTACAGAGTAAGGATGATTAATCGTTAAGTTCACTTTCATTTAGAATGAAAATCTGTGATGAAGAGATTCGAAGATCAATCCCAGCGGAACATCAGCAATCTTCTTCTGATTAGAAGTTGTTTGGTCTTAACTGAACATTATGATTAACGCCGTTTCATGTCGTTCTCCGTCAGTTACAGCAGAAAGGTGTTAAGATTTCGTCTCATATGGAGGGGCAGCATCAAAGAGAGCAAAGTATCAGTATAACAACAAATTCAAACTAACAAATCAAGAAAACTCACCACTTATTCCTGACTGCTGTAAATATGCTTAACTTGTGCTTTAGTAGTTGTAAGAATGATACCCTATTCTGATTATTTGCGCCATGACAGATGTCAAGCACGTTTTTGTCGGAACCAAAGGATTGCCTCGAGGATGGCGTCAGAAAAAATTTTCTAACAAAGCCAGCCGAAAGCTGGTTGAGGGGAGGAGAGGAGTTAAAAATGGATGCGAATATGAAGCCACATATGTTGACTTTAGTCTTAATTTCTTTACAAACAGTAATTGCAAAACGAAGATTGGTAATCTAAAATGAGTGATTCTTCAGAGTATAATAATAGCAAAGAAAATGAGCTAGATAAGCTTATACTAATATTAAATGAGAATAATTACCCTCTGGGTTAGATTTAAATAGCATCAGATTAATAAGAAATTCTGCTTCAGACCTTTTTTCATGGCCTGACTCTGCCTTCTTGCGTTCTTTGTAAAAGGATAGGTAGACTTAAAATAGAGTAAGGAATAAAATCGTTCTTTAATGACAATTGTTTAAATTATACTCGCATTTGGAGAAATGTGACCAATTATCCAGATCAGGCTTCTATAAAATAATGTATTTATGTGATTGTTTGGAGAGACCTGTTATCCCAATTAACAAAGAGCGGCTAAACACAAAAATGCATGTAGTTGACGTTGAATTAAAAAATCATAGGTAGCAAAGCACCCCAGAAACTGAAGATAAACTGATCTTAAACTTAGCATTTTGCTAATCATGTTATGTCTTTAGCTAAGCTCAAAACCAGGGGCAATCACAATTAACAGAATAAGCGACAAGTTGAAAATCAGGAATATCGGTAAAAATGCAAGAACTATTTACATTTAATTGATAGACCTAAAGGCGATTAGCCGCCTAAAAAAAGGCCAATTAAACTAGTCATTTGCGTTCATGGTTTCAGTCACAACCATACATCCTAATTCACTCTCTCCCTCTCTCTCACACAAACACACACACACACTGAGACAAAAAAAACATCAAAATGACTAGATGCAATCGTATTGGCTGAAGCAATAAGTGGGAGTAGAGGTCATTAAAACTTGGTGAGCGGGTACAAATGTTAAGTTCTTTCCTAATTACATTAGGCTATAACCACTGGTTTTGTACTTAGACAGACACAATAATCTTAATGGAGCCACATTAAAAACACGTACATGTTTCTAGATTTACTTGAACTATCCAAATCACTATAAACCTCATCAAAATGCAGAGGTGTAGGATATGTATACAACATGTAGGTATAAGCTGCTGAGTTTTCTATATTCAGCTTAAATCGGTTGTAAAGTCTCCTCTGGCTTGGTAAGCAGAAATTGTAACTACACTGTGCTAATTTATTCGATAGTACTTTTCTTAATAATCAGTAACCTCCACGATTGCGACTCAAACAAATGAAGGTGGCTTAATGAATTTTGCCCCTAGAATTGGAATAATTTAGGATAATTTTAACATTATCAATTTTCCTTAACTTCACAATAGCTCACATGGTTTGCATAGTACCACTATAAGATAAGTAAGCATTTAAAAAAAGCATGAGAAGAATCTGATTGTGTATACCGAATGAGGAATGAAGTAAATTTTTACCGAGGAATTTCTTCCACTTAACCCAGGATCACACTAGGCAACCTTGGAATAGAAGACGATATAGCAAAGGCCTTTTTAATTATGACAAAAGTCTGCATTATGGATATGAAATATCGACTCATGCATGTGAGCCCTAGAGGATATTTTGCCCTGATAGTACGATAGGAGGGGTAGTTCAAAAAAGAAACAAAACTGCAGGGCAAGGATTTGGTCTCCAACCAAGGTCCTTTAGCATAATAATGCTATTTTGACTAGCAGAAACCTGAGTGCAGGAAGTATTCAGATGCGATAGGGACAGCATCCAGACAAATTAAAAAACAGATTATGTGTTAACTTCGGAATATTGAGGAAAAGGTATCAGCATTAACTAAAGTACAGTGCTAAAAGACTTAAAGGAAATTGATATAGATTTGTCCTACTGGCCATTTTTAGCAAATGCTCATACACGCAGGCGAAACAGTGTAAATCCCAGTCTCAGAACCAAAGAGCATGGAAATTAAATGGGAGATTAGAGGTCTGACACAATGATAAATTTGCGAATACATACATATTAAAAAAAGGTATATATATATATATATATGTACGTGAATAAAGTAAATTAAGCCGCGACAAGTTCAAAGTCCCTTTTATTGGGATATTAGTTGCGATTTGTGGATAAGGTTGAAGGAGAAACCAAGATAAAAATATGGATTAATCCATTTATAAGTAGATTTACTAGACTAAGCTTAGACCTGATATAAGAACTATATTGAGCCAATTTCGTTTAAGGTGATGAAAGACCGGTAGTTGAATTTTTCCACAATGATATGAGTAAGCCACAGGTCTAAATTGAATTTCATATAGCCTTGCTTTCCAAAAGGTATTTTCGTCCAAAATGAACTGCAGTCTCATCAGCGCCAACAGAGGGACTTAAAACCTGATACTGCAGCATATAGCCTAGATACGTTGACCACAATGATACAATGCCATGAGTGGTTAGTGTGTCAATATTATATGCTAAATTATCTGGATTAGTCTCGCCGGAAGTTCCAATAAGTCCTATGCGAGGTCGAAACTATAGTATACGCCGGATAAGAAAACCTTTTGGTAAGCAATATTATGTGAAAAGAGGTGGTCTGACTTTGTTTTCGCAGCTTGGTTGTGTTGTCTGGGCGACTTAGTTGGACCCACCTTGTCCGAAGTCCTCTGCTACATTAGTTATCATAATTCCTAGCGTCGAACAGTGAACTTGGTACATTCCCAGACGTTTCGCCGGCATCATCAGTGAGTCTTGCCATTCTCAACACCAAGCTACAACTCTTGTCTATTGGACGAGCTGTAGTTTGGTGCTGAGAATAGCGAGACTCATTGACGATGCCAACTACGATGCCGGGGAAATGTCTGGGAGTATATCACGTCCATGATCAGACGTGAATTATGATAACTACTATAGCAGAGGACTTCAGACAAAATGCCCCCAACTAAGTCTCTCTGAAAACAAGACCAAGTTGCGAAAACGAGGTCAGATCACTTCTATAAATCGAAAGGAGACTGCGACCAAAATGGCCACAGCATCTTGGTCTTCACATCAAGATTGTCAAATTCAATGGAAACGTGAAATGGCCCCCCTTAAGGTCATTGATATTTAATTTACCTCGGCAAGCAAGGCGACGCTTAGCAGCATATTTTTCTCAGGATTCACTGCCACTGGTCCACTAGCATTCGTTGTCGGCTGCGATAGCATCTTTTCGACGCAAATATCACTAGCACTATCATTAGGAGAAATAAATGGTGAGACATCAGGCGAAGCTATGGGAAGGTCGCCCCTCGAAGTAGAAGCAGAGCTTAAGTCAGCTTTGCTTGAGGAAGATAGCAGAGTGGCTTCGGTGATGGCAACTAAACGCTCCTCAAGTAAACGGATTCGATCCTTCATATCTGCCTCACGATCAGATGCTCGGGATTCCAGATTGGTTAACCGGATTTGCAGCTGGTTGGCACGGTGTTCCGATTCAACTGCTTTATCGGTATTGACCATAAATATGTGCTCCTGCTTGGCCAGATAATGCTTTAGCTAATTTCACGAGGAACAAAAATACGCATTAATATCCTATTAGAAGAAAGACATTTGAAAATGTGAAGGTTATTCGAGAACGAATTAGAGTTTATAAATAAAATAACAGAGTAATATTTTGGTTGTATGTCTAACGTAGATTGTGAACCATTAAAGTTAAAATAAAAAACAAAGAAATTGGGTTAAAAGGATCTGCAATCAACTCAATCAAAACGATTTGAAAATTAGGCAAGAAAATGTGACATTATTGTGATAGAATAAAAAGTAAACTATGAAATACCATAGTTTAGAAATTAATCCCTCCACTCAATGAATAATATTTGTTAATCTATGTTGAAATAGTAGATAGGTACTGGGAGATAACAAAGGATAAGTTTTTGTTGAAAAAAAACAAAGTTTTCGATTACTATAGCAAACAAATAACATTATAAGATACCTGATCGAGATT